GGCCATTGTGTTTTTCTTTCCAAGAAACCAGTGAAGATAAAGTTGTCATTCCTAGCAGACACGGTGACCTAAATAAAAAGATTGGTCCCACCTCCCTTGTTACCAGTGCAAACTTTATCTCTTCACATGAGCTGGGAATTGCAAAAGCATTCTGTTTTGATTTAACTGAACTTGAAATCTCAGTAATTGCATCCACCGAGATCAGAGATAACCCATCATTTTCATCAATATATTAATGCATCCAGAAGTCATATCTCAAACTGGACTCCAAGGGAAGAATAAATCTCTTTAACATTGAATGTAAATTAACTTGTCTGGAAATCAAAACTCATCCAACATTCATTACAGAAGGAACTCCTAGTATTTTACTTATCATAGGGGAGTCTCATATAACCTGTACTGGCAAAAGCCCAAAATGGCCATTTTAACATGGAACAGAGGAAGACTTAGCTAGCCTAAGTCTACAATCCTCACTTAGGTGCCTCTTGGGGCTATGAAGCTGAAGGTCTGTAATGGGTGGCAGGTACAGTAAAACAATTAAAAAAGGATAAAGGCATTATATTTGAATTGATCTAATCTTCTCTTCCCACTGGGATCTAAAGAGAGATCTTTCTAGAATTACCACATTTTATCAATAGACCCAGAGAAAAATTAACAAAAGCCTGAATTTCATTTACATGTGAGTAGGAAGAAAGGTCAGTGAAAACTGCTTTTACTCTGTGCTCAGAACGCCCAGGAGCAGAATAAAACAACTCTCTGTCTCTTACCTGTCTTGCAAGCACCGGAGAAGTTGCCCTCAGCTAGAAGACATTTCATTAATTGGTCCGCTAATTTCTTGGAAAATTTCAAACTCAAAACTCTGATTTGTGATTTACAGATACAAAAGTGAGGTACAAACCATTAGATGCAAAATGTGTACACATAAAGGAAAATTCAATGACATATTCAGAAACATAGGTCCAGATTGTGAACATTTTGAATCACCTTTGTGTATTGTTTATACTGTAAAACAGCCTTTACTGGTGCCTCCGTTGAAATAATTCATTTTCTCAATAGAAATGTATATATATATATATATATAGGTTAATTTACCTAGGAACACTGCTGCCAGCTACTTCCTAGCTCGGATCCTGTGTCTAACAATTCTCTTATGAAATAAGTTGTTACCTGGCTCAAAAAGGTTTGGAAGCAGTGGTTCTGGGTTGTGTGTTTGTGTGTGGGTGTGTGTCCTTGTGCATCAGATTGCTGCTGAAGTATTTTTGAACTGAACTGAGTGTGTATGTGAGAAAAGAGTAGGGCAGCCATTGAATTCTGTAAGTGCTACAGTACTGCATATTTAGACTCATTGTGGAGTTGGAAGGCTTTATAAATTTACAAAGATAAATATCTGAATAAAATGCCGAGGCTGCTCCAGTACTATAAGCTGCGCATTCATAAACCAAAGTCTACAGATAGCTTATCCCCAAAACATGCTTGTATTAAAGAAATAATAGCTTGCACAGGGCCTAAATCTACATTTAGATAATGGCAGGATTAGTGCTTATTATCTCAGTTCTACCCCATACTTCCTTGCAAAATGGGATGGCTATTATTTTAAGCCTCAAGACGAGCATCAAATGGGAACAGCAGAGAAAGAACAGCCACAGCGAAATTGTCAATAAAATCTCAGCGCAAGACACTATTGTAATAAAGTTGCTATGTTTAGAAGAAGAAAAAAAAAAAGCCTTAGGATATGCAAAATCCAGTTCCAGTGATGCAGTTTAAACAGGCATGTCCCACTGTGGCCACATATATAATCATTCTCGGAATGTGTAAGTGCTTTGGAGCTTGAAAAAAAAAATGCAGAGTCTTTCACTTTGTTCAATTCTTTAAAAGGCAGCTCGGGTTCAATTATTCATGAGATTCTTTTTCCTCCCTTTGGGAAATCTGTAAATAAACGTTAAAAGACCCATGCTCGTTTGATGCTATTCCCTTCTGTCTGTGCAAGCATGTTGGTCTGTCAGGCAAGTGGATATGACAGCAGTCTTTGTTTGTAGAATTGATCAGTGAGTGTTGCTGGTACCTGAGAAACGTCTGAAAGGGATTTTGGGGGTTTAGTGTCCATATGTCATTCCTCCCTGCCTTGTTACTCAAATACGTCTGTTTGCTTTCATTGCCTGCCCCAAATGTCTAATGTGAGCTGATTTGTAAGGTATGATCAGGAATTGACAATTGCCACAAACATAAGAGAAATGAATTTAAATCGTAGCTCTAACCAGCGTGACCTGGAGGTAATTAAGGGTAGAAGCTGTAGCCCCAAAGCATCGTCGGGTCAGCTATCCATTCCTGGACTAGAACAACCAATGGAATTTGTGTGTAGAATAACAATGATAGAAGACTGTAGCTTTCATTTTTCTGTGTATGAACTTCTTATAGCTACTTATTGGGTATTATGCAAAGCAGGGCCCTGGATGAGGCAGATATTGGATTTAATCCAACAGTGCTTTTCTTATTCAAAAAATATAACTCATCTCATATTTGGGGAAAGTGATTTAAGATTCTATCCATATTTGCACCACCCATGTAGTGACTATAGCAAGTGTTTCTAACTATAAACAAGTGTAGCAAATTAATACTAAAATGGCAATTATTGGACTAGTGTTAGGTCAGAATACGGCTATGCAGCTCAGTAGTATCCTCTCTTTCTCCACTAGCTACTTTAGTGGAGTTATCATGATGACATAAATGAAGGAAAGAAGAATAGTAGTTAATTGCTTTGAGTTCCTTAGCTGAAAGGTGGGATATAAATGTAATAAATTCATAGTTATACCAAACAGAATAACAAAAATCCACATTAAACTAAGATCAAGATCTCTCATTTTCATTATGATTTTGCTGCTTACTCTCTGGGGTAAAAACAGAATTTCCCTTCTGTATATACTGTGCAGTTGCACAATCACAAAAACCTCTCTCTATTCTTGTCCTAAAAGTTTCTCACTATTCATTCCCACATTACTTACCAGTGTGTCAAAGGTTTCACATTTCCCTTATTAAAATACAAGAACAGAAGGTACACTTTTCTGTATTTCACGCTTATATGCCAGAAGAAATTACTTCAGCATTTGCTACGTATAATTCTTGGGATCCTATTTCTAGAGTTGAAAATCGATCGTATCTATTAAAGTTGTTAGATATATCATAAATTATTTAGGAGAATTTAGCTGATTGTTTTTTTCCCTCACTTCTCAGGGGAAATGATTAATAATGTACAGTACATAAGCAGTATTGTAGCCCAATCGAGTCACAGTTTTAATACAGATCTAGATGAATTTCAGTTTCTTGAATGCCATGAGTAAAGGCTGGATGGAGTTAAGATTGGGACCAAGGACAATATAATATAGCTTAATTGACTGGCAGACAAATGACTCGAAATGTCAATATCAAGAATGCCGTAAATTACTCCGGCTATAGGCAGCTAATGACCTTGTGTATTCAAATTCCTGCTCCTCTGAATAGCAAGCAGGGATATAAAGGGGAAAGCTCCTTCATGGAAGGACATATTTTATTTAACACAATATTAAAAAACAACAACCCAACAATGTGACAGGATCATCTCTGATTTCTAATTGTTCATTGTCAACTTAATTTCTCTCCCACCCTTCTATAATTTTTTAACGGTAAGAATTTGTATAGAATTGCATTTTAGAAAATAGAAGCCATGTATGAAAACCCACATCAACCAAGGGATTTCCTGATTGCTGACCCATTATCCTCATTTAATCTTCCACGGAAGTGGATTCCTTTTGATTTTCCCTCCAAACCAGTTTGTAACACTGAACTCTGAGATATTCTGTAGGTGTAAAGTGATAATACAAAAGTTTGGGTTTTTTTTTCCCAGACCGTCTCATTACTGTTCATAAAATAATTTGTGAAGATGCATCTTTTAATTTAAAAAAATAGGGCTAAGACTTGACTTTCAGAAATTCACTGACTGGCATGGTTATTTATAACTCTACTGGGGAGAAAGGACAAAAATCCCCTTTCCTGTTCCCTGTTTAACCCTGTGCTGGACTGGCTTGCTTTCTTATAAAGCTATTAAGCAGAGCTTTTAAGAAAGAATGGAGAAAGAAAAAGTCATTGTAGAAGCCTCCGAGTTTAGTTTGCTGGATGCTTTTTTCTATCTGTAATTCTTTGACTAGACAACAGTCAGCAACCCATGGCTCTGGAGCCACATGTGGCTCTTTCATCCCTCCGTTGCGGCTCCCTCTTGCTGGTTGGCTCCACAATTGATAGGGTTTTTGATTAGGACAGGTAGAGGAAAAAGGATACTGTGCTAGGAGGAGACTCTATGGTGGGGGAACCAGACTTCTGGTTGGCTCCAGGATTGAATGAGGGGCTTCCACTTAGGACCTTTGTGACTCTTTGAATGCTTAAGGCTGCCAACCCCTGGACTAGACCTCTCTTTCATGAACTTGTAGCAAAGACATCTGTTTTCCCTCTCTCTCCGTGATCCTCCTTTTCTTCCTTACCTGCTGCAAAGCTAGGATATCTCAGCTCAGTTGGGTTGATATAATCTCAATGCACCAAAATTAAAATGGATTATTCTCCCTTTCTAAAAGAAAGTAGATCTCTCGACAGTTTAACAACGTCCACAGGGTGCTATATTCCCACCCCACAACTTGGCATAATATGTGTAATGACCTTCTTTCAGTAATGTTTTGCCTTTTTTTCACATCCCATACCTCAAATTCCATAGGAGCAATATTCTGAGGAAGCATTTTCCCCGGTTTAGCTGGGAAGGCTTCCCCCCCAGTACTCATAGAAAGAAGAACGTTAGAGACCCTCAGAGACGACAAGTAACAAGGCTGCTGTTGGGCTCGCTCCCAGCCTAAAGCTTTGATATGCTCTCAAGAAGCCGGGATGCCACTTTATTAATTTAAAAATAGTTCAACAACTGTGTGTACAAGTCTCATGTTCTGTAAAATGGAACATTAGCTTCTGTTTTGGCCATCTCCCCTGCTTTATTCGGGCTCGCTGCTGTTTGTCACCTTCTCCCATTCCAAACTCTCGTCGCTTTGCACGAGGGAATCTGGTCCTGGCCGGACACGAAGTCCTTGGAACCTCCGGCATTCAGGGCACACCCGGATGTGAGTACAACCTCGAGCCACCAGGGCAGCTTCTTGTGCAAGTCGCTGTGCCAGCTGGTCAGGGTCCCCACCACCACAGAGTTTGCCATTACTGAGTGTGGTAGTGATAGCCGTACGGGCTCTTCGGTCTTCCTGTATAATGGGGCGAGTCCGAAGAATAGCTCCTCGTCTTTGACGGGGGTGAAAACTGTCCCTGCAGAGAATGATGCTACGCAATTCCGACGCCATTTCCTGGCAGGCTGATATCTAAGAGGGGGTAAAAACAAAAAACCAAAGTATTAAAATACTAGTGTTTAAAAAACAACAACAATGTTTCAGTGTCAGTGGGGAACCATCTAAGAATTGCAGTGTTTGTTGGGGTTCAATTGGGAACTCCTACAACAAAAACAACTCCAATAAGCCATGTCCATAACGCTACCAGAAAATTGTAATGATGCAGTTACTAGACACTTACTCCTGGGGAGGAAAGCTATGGCAAATCTAGACATCATACTAAAAAGCAGAGATCTTACCCTGCCAACAAAAGTGTGTATAGTCAAGGCTATGGTTTTCCCAGTTGCAATATATGGCTGTGAAGATTGGACCGTAAGGAAGGCTGAGCGCCAAAGAATGGAGGCCTTTGAACTCTGGTGCTGGAGGAGAAGACTCCTGCGAGTCCCTTGGATTGCAAGGAGATCCAACTGGTCAGTCCTAGAGGAGATCAACCCTAACTGCTCTTTAGAAGGCCAGATCCTGAAACTCCAAGACTTTGGCCATCTCATGAGAAGGAAGGACAAAAGAAGAAGGAGGGGACGGCAGAGAAGGAGGGGGCTGGATGGAGTCACTGAAGCAGTAGGCATGAGCTTAAATGGACTCCAGAAGATGGTAGAGGACAGGAAGGCCTGGAGGAACGTTGTCCGTGGGGGCGCGATGGGTCGGACTTGACCGCCACTAACAACAACAAGCCTAACTCAAGAGCATTTTTACCTAATGATGTAATTGAAAAAAAAGGACACTAAGCCATTGGAAACCAGTTAATAAATTATACCTAAAAATTATAGTTATGCTTTAATATATAGTATATTGTTTTATACTATAGTATGGAAAACTATAAATTGTGAATAATATTCCATTTTTCTCAGCTTTCAATATATTTAGAAACTCTACTCTCCATTTTACTTCATGTTATTCTGACTGTTCAGTCGGCCTCTGAATATCTTGACACATTTGTGGGGAGGGGGAGTAGAACTCCTTAGCATCAGAGCATGTTAATAATAATAATATATGAAATGCTAATGCTCTGATGGTCATTTGGGAAAATCCTTTCTTAGTGAACACCTAGAAGCCAAAACATATGTGCCAAATTTCAAGTTTGTAGGCTTTACAGTTCTGGAGATTTTGTGATGATGCGTGAGTGATATTTCGCTTTTATATAAATAGATTAGATTATCTTTTGATGCAACACACATAACCAAATATTAGAACATGCACCTTTAACAAAAACTTACTTCAGAATGTTCAGAGTGTCGGAGACTCCACAAGAACTCCAGCACTGCCATAAAAATTGCTACGATTAAACCACATATCAGGACCACAAAGATTCCACCTATATTCTCCATTCCTAGACCTATCATAAAACACACACAAACACACACACAGAAACAGCATTAGCACGACGGAGTAACTTCTAAGAAGCCACAGATTGCTGTTGCAATCTGCAAGTAGTGATTTGTGTGATTGATTGTGTGGCAGCCTGTGGGGAAGTCTCCCACCCATGATTAACATGAAATTAACCTTGGAATATTATGCAAATACACAAGATAATGTAATGGCAGTACAGGATAATAGCTAGCTTTTCCTTGCATGCAAAGTTTGAATAAAAGCATTGCCCTTAATAACCCAGCACATTACGCTAAAGAACAGATAGTAGCTTGGTAATTTCAACGCCCAGTAATAACATGCTACAACATATGGTTTTCAGTACTGATGAGTTAATAATATCTGTTAGGAATTCAAATTGAATTCATAAAAATGGAGTATTCTGCTAAAAAAAAACCCTAGAAATATATTGGAGTCTTTCTTGGGTAGTTCCTACTATCAGAAGAGTTCAAACAAACTATGAGGATATCTATCTCCAAAGCGGCATTTCTCAACCTTGGTAGCTCTGAAATGTATGGACTTCAGCTCCCAGAATTCTGCGCCCAACTAGGGAACTATTCCGGGAATTGAAATCCATACATCTTAAGAGTTGCCAAGGTCGAGAACCATTATTTCCTCCTTCTTGCTGATGGAGAAGAGACCATAGTCACTAAGGAAAACAGATAAAGAATGGAGAGCTTTATTATCACCTGATTCTCTCAACTTTTTTTCCTATTTATTTTTAAAAACACCACCCCTCCTTTCTGACAGGTAATTCTCCCTTTGAAGGGAAACCTTTGAACGACTGCTTCTAGGTCTCTAGAACCTGGTGTTCCTCTATTCTTGTTCTTCTCATTTCTAGAGTCAGTGGATTCGGTTTCAAGGATGATACCATTAGCCTTGTTGTCTATCATAACATTGAAATATCTCCTCCATAGAAACTGGATCGTGGTGTGCTGACACAGATAGAAACGACTGCATTCATTGTGCAAAACTGGCTAGATCCTGGAATGTTCACCAGAGATGGAGCTAGGGAATCTCTCCTACATCACCTGATGGATGTTTTGTATTGGGTCAAAAACTCTTGCCTCGGTTTAAGCCAGAGCCATCAGTTATCATCTGTAGATTCAGCTCCTTCTGCATTGATCCTTTCATTTCTGCAGCTAAGGAACTCATTGGAGAACAGCTTTAATGAATGACAATGGCATGATATAGCATTTGACATTGTCTTGTTCTTAAGGTTCTACCGTTTTTGTGCCTCATTAAGCATTTTCATACACTGCACATTTCTTCCAGCTCTCATCGTTCAGCTATGAGTTGCTTTGGGACATCTTTAGCTCCCACGTGTTGGATCAAGGTCTTCATTTTCCACTGCATAAGATTTCGCCTTTCTCTATAGATCCGCTACCTGAGAAGGAAGAGGGGTGATTTCATCCTCTTTTTGAGCTGTTTCTTCAGTCTTTTAAAGCTATCTCTTGAGAAATCCTGACAATTTGAATATTGGCGTCTTTGAGCTCTGCACCATCACACAATCATTTGCAAGTGGTTGCTCTTTCTCTCCATAAGCAATGGCTTGTCTTCAGCTTGGCACTCCTCCAATCTAAGGACAACGTTTTTCTCTTCAAATCCTTCTTCAATTTCTTTTGAAGAGAAAATGGAAATAACTCTGGACAGATGAGAATGATTCATTCCTCTTCAATGGAGTCAAACAGATGGATTCTGACTCATTCTCCCTTCAGCAGGCCTGGTAGAGAACCGAAACAGCTCCTATTTCATAATCAGCTCATAACGCAGTTGATGAATCTTTCCCCTGATATATTCTACCTGTTCTTCAAGAAGTTCATTTCTCACCGAGTTTTATTCCTCCTTTGCAACCACTGACTAATTTGGACAGATCATTCTAAATCCTGCTCTTTTTCTTCGAGAAGATGCGTAACAGCATGAGTGCCATTGTATGTTTTAGTCATCGGGCCCTCTCGTTCAGCACATAAAAGATAATGTTTCGGTGTCTCTTCTGTCTATCTGCTCGGTGGTTAAGTCAATATTAGCACAAGGAGTATGAAGCCAATCGTTGTGATCATAACCATAGATTGATTCTGCTCTTAGCTTGTAATGTGAGAGCTATTCTTCTAGCATCCTGGTAATTTCAGCTCCGAGAAGATCCCTACTATTATACACATTGATAATGGTGCCAGCATCTCTGTATTCCCTGGCACATTATTGTCCACAGCTTCACTTACATAATTCTCTCAATGAATGTCTCTACCATAGACCAGGAGTGCAGGATTAGTTGTCTAAGGAGAGGACACAGCAGTAGACAAAGAACAGTTGTTCAAAACTGGCATCCGGCTTGGCACACAGTGGCAACTGCTATTGCAAGAGATGGGGGTCTGGCAAAGATTGGCAGTGCAACCTGCCTCTTTCCTGGTTGACAAGTGAGTCACAGGCTTTCCATGACGTCATACAGTCCCCACAGCAACAGGTCGACCTCAATCGGCAACTATAGTGGCATATTTGTCAGCAGTCCTTCCTTGGGGTTTGCTGCATGGTTTAAATCAGGAGCCTCCAACCTTGGCAACTTTAGGACTTGTGGACTTCAACTCCCAGAATTCTCAGCAAGGCTGGCTGGGGAATTCTAGATATTGAAGTCCATCCATCTTAAACTTGCCAAGGTTGATTTAATACTGATGCAAAGCATTCCATTCACTGATTCATTCATTTTTATTCTTGTCTTCATCCAGCATAAGTACCGGTATGAAATACAGAAATGTTCACAGATGTATTTCTATTATATTTAATAGAATATTAAATTATTCTATTAAATTATATGGTAGTATTAAAAGTTAATTAAAATATAGTAGTAAAATATTTACATGACAAATAACTATAAAACTAAAGTGAATGGATTTATTTACTTGGTCTCTGAAAGATCCCCTAGTGGTTAAGCTATAAAATATCTACATTTAAATCATCTGGCAAATATTATTTCTCCCCAGATATACCTAAACAAATAACAAATGGAATAGAGACAAACTAATAATAGTCAGATAGATGACTAAGTCAAGTATCTTGCTTCGGACAACATTAAAATTTAGCAAACAGGACAGCAAATATCTCAACATGAAGATAACAGGTTAAATAAAATGACAAAACCAAAACAATAGGCAAGAATAATAATGCAAAAGAGACCATATTTTGATCCATGTTAACATGATGCCACCATTTTTTAATAGCATGGAAAACTGAAATTCTACTTGATACAAGAAGACACAAAGAAAAAATAAAGCAATGACAGAGTGAAGACAAAACTTTGGAATTTCTGTTACCCTTTTGAGTGAGGCATCATATGGTTACTTCACATATATCTGGATATATGGATTCCTAGGCACTACCTGTCTCGATGAATGTCAGAAATAACTTTTGAGATTTTAGGCAACAAAGACTTTTGCTACAGTTAATCAGTGTAATTTTCTGCTAAGGATGCCTTTGCTAAATGGGCATCTATGTCAATATGTAAAATAAAGAAATGCCATTACAACTACCAAGGTCAAGCCCACACAAAGAGTTAGAGATGTTTGCCTGGCTTCAAAGTCATTCTTGAGTTTGGCCTATGAAATAATGATTTCCTTTCTCTAATAAAATGCATTGAATTGTATTCAACTTGTATCTCATCTCCTTTATTAGCAGCTCTGGTTTAAAACCAAAGTCTAGATTAACCTTGCTGTATTTATAATTCTTGCTGGAGGCAATTCACTTTTGGCTGGGAATGTTTATTACTGGGACTTGGATAGACTTCACTTGATTGAGCAGAAGACTGACTCACAAATGATGTGTTAGCTTGTATCAGAGCTGCCGAGTACAATTCTTAATCAATTCAGACACCTGTAAAAGTTGCCTCTTTCCTCCTGAGCACTAAATCAAAATGTGAGAATCAAAGATTTATTGACAGTCCCGCCGGTTTTTTTAGAAGACAGCCTCATCGTCTCCTCCTCGTAAATCATTGTCCGGTTGTTTTATTTGCGAAAGTTGACGGTCATATCTCTTGGTGTCTGCCCAATGCACTTTCAGGTGTTCAAAGCAGGATTTGTTCCAACCATGTAGCAAATCACTGTGGCAGAAGCAGCGATTCTTCCACAAAGATGCCCATTAAAAGCCTGAACCTTCCAAGAAGGGAATTTGGCACCCACAGAATAAGTCATTACAACTCCTGGAAGCTTCTGTAGCATCTCTGTTGTGGTTCGCCAGCAGCAGGTGTGGACAGCTGAGGTGTCGGAGAGCGAGGACTCAGATGAGGGGCCTGCATGTGATGCAGGGATGGGGCCAGGACCATCAGGGAGTGGAGTGCTGCCTTCGGAGATTGTGGAGGCTGGCAGCAGTGAGGAAGAGGACCCCGAAGAGCCTGTGCCTAGTGCGCCTGTGCGCAGGGTTGCTTGAAGGAAAGAGCAGCTGCAGCAGCACGGACACCTCGGGAGTAAGGCTGCAAGGTAATGACCCCTCCCTTAAGAGATAAAAGCTAGCTGAGAAACCGGAGTTCTTTGCAGGAAGCAAAGAAATCTTTGCATTCAAGCGTTGTGGACGTTCAGAATATCTTGGTTGGTGTTTGGACATTCTTTGTGTTTGAAATATTTCTTGGCAACTTTATCTAGCGTTCTTGGCAGCCTTGCACAACCTTGGCAAGGCTTGTTCTCATCAGAAACAATTAGTTTGAAACAGCCTTTTAACCGTGAAGGAACGGAATTCATAAAGAATCATTAAAAGGTTTTGCTGTCACCTCTGTTTCTTGTTTGTTTCCTTGGAACAAGGTTTGCGTCAGAACAATCTCCCACCAGTTGCCTCCAAGTTGATAGTGGAAACATTACCCCCAAAATCGATAAGGCTGCCCGCCTTTCCATTTTCATCCTAAACAATGCTAGTTTAACCATGTTTGCACTTCAAAGCAAAGGACGTAATTTCTAATTCTCCCATGGGGGTAACAGCAACTCTTAAAGTTGTTTGTCTCCTGCTAGAATTTCTCCATTCCAGGTCTGGTGATGGTGGGGATCATATCACACCACTTGTACACTAAAGCGACAATTGCCCCAAGATCTCTTGTTAGAATAACAGAGTTGGAAGGGACCCTAGTCCAACCCACTGCTTAGGTAGGAAACCCTACACCACTTCAGACAAACGGTTGTCCAATCTCTTCTTAAAAACTTCCAATGTTGGAGCATTCACAACTTCTGGAGGCGAATTGTTCCACTTAATAATTGTTCTCATTTTCAGGAAATCTCTCCTTAGTTCTAAGTTGCTTCTCTCCTTGATGAGTTTCCATCCGTTGCTTCTTGTCCTGCCTTCAGGTGCTTTGGAAAATAGCTTGACCCTGAAAATAGCTTATTGGAAGACTGCTATCCTATCTCCCCTGGTCCTTCTTTTCATCAAACTGGACATATCCAGTTCCAGCAACCGTTCTTCCTATGTTTTAGCCTCCAGTCCCCTAATCCTCTTTGTGACTCTTCTCTGCATTCTTTCTAGAATCTCAACATCTTTGAAATATAAAATCTAAAATATTATAAACGTACATCTGAATACACACACATATTTTTTTTTGCTTCATTTGTCACAGCCAGCAAAGTCTCTATTACAGCTTCTATTTTGGCATTCTAGCATTATATGTTGGGTAGATGACTTATGAATAAATGACCTGGATGATATATATATACATTGCATAATGAAGGAGAATATTTGTAGCTCAGGTTGAGATCTGTCAGAGCTCGTTCTCTTTATTGAGGGGTCCCCTATGTGCTCCCCTTCTCCTCCCCTCTTCTCTCTCACAGGAGTCTATTTCATAATTTATCGGTTTATTTTATTTTATTTTTATTCTTTGAAGTTTAGTTATGTGTTTCAGATGTCAAGATAAAGCAATTAGCGCTCTCCCTGGTCTCTGGATGTCTGAGGCTGACCAGCGAGGCAGTTAAAAGTGCTCCGGTAACATAATCTTGTCTCTGCAGAATTGGCCTGGAATTTCCACCGAGAGTAAGAATTTTAAAAGCAGTACTGAACTTTTGTTAGGAAATGACATATATTTGAATAAAAATCAAATCAATGTAAAGACACACACACAGAGAGAGAGGCAATTGGAGGTTTACACACACAGAGGGAGGAGGGAGGGAGAGATTATAAGGTATTGATGGAAAGGACCAATTTCCTTTCAAAATTGCTTTTAAGGTGCCTTCCCCCTCTCCTGCCGACTTCCCAGTTCTTTCATCTTTATGATAAAACATAGGTTTGAAGCAAAGATGGTTTCCAAACATCTATTTTTCTTTATGAGCTGTTCCAACATACAGAACACAAATTCTTTGCTGGATGAAAGATACAGACTGTTATCCTGTTTGTTTTTGCTTCATGCTCGTTTCCCCTGCCCCAAACCAGCATAAATGAATACTATGCAAACCTAGAGTCTAAGGGCCTTATGGTTTATTGGCTTCTAAGGGCCAGATTTTTTTTCCCTTTGTCCAAAATTCAGTCTCCCCCACCCCCCAAAAAAGGAAGAAAAAAAAACAGAAAGGGAATGTGCACACTGACAACGTCTCCTCGAATGGTGACGAACCATTTGAAATCAAACTGCCCAGCTCGGAGCTCAGCCCAATGGTCCAACTCCCAACTCAAGCTACTTTTGTTCGAATACATTTCAGAGAAGGCGCTCATAGTTTACCCTTGGCTCGATGGTCCTCCTCTTTAGGACACTGTCCGCCCTCCCACCACTTTCGCTTCAGGATTTCCAGACGGTTGGTCTCCTGCAGCTGGAGAATGGCCAAGTCAAACTCATCGCGGAAAACAGAACCTGTAAAGCCAAGCGGGCAAATCAGAAACTAAAAGAAGAATCCACTCTTCTACTCGTTCTGTCTTGGGAGGATTTCCATTTTCCATTTAAGTCTGTTTCCTTTTGTGAAACATCGCAGGAAATCTTGGACATCAGGTAGAATCAAACCTTTTAAAATCTATTCTTGCCTGAGTCTTTAAAGTTACAATGGGAGAAGCTGTTCTAAAACTCTCTTGATGTACTCTCTGAAGCCGTAGAGCAGGGGTGTCCAACCTTGGCAACTTTAAGACTTGTGAACTTCAACTTTGCTGCCTGAGGAATTCTGGGAGTTGAAGTCCACAAGTCTTAAAGTTGCCGAGGTTGGACACCCCTGCCGTAGAGCATTCCAGAAGAATGAAGGTATTTGCTACATTGCCTGAAAGTCTCAATTTGCTCATTGCTGAAACTTAGATGTGTTTTTGATTATGGAAAATGTATTGCCATAGTAGTAATTATATTGCTATGAATGTGTTCTTATTTTTCCCTCTTCCTACAATAAAACCTGCGCATATAAGACTAAGGAAGGTTCAGTTTCCCATTAAGGAAAGGGATTCCTTTTCCCTCCCAACCCCCACAAGACATATGGGTTATTTCTTATCTTAGAGGTTCAAAGTGATTTGTTCAGCAAGCAAAACCATCAGACAATTCAGTGCGGCTTAGGAATAACCTGACCAAGGTTTTTTTTAGGGCTGAGGTCCCTGCATGGAAGGGCTTCTGATGTTTTATGAATCTGTAAAAGTAAAGGTTCCCCTTGCACATCCCTGCTAATCATTTCTGGCTTTAGGGGGTGGTGCTCATCTCTGTTACAAAGCCAAAGAGCCAGCGCTGTCCAAAGATGTCTCTATGGTCATGTGGCCGGCTTGACTAAACGCCTTTGAAGGCACATGGAACACTGTTCCCTTCCCACCAAAGTGGTCCCTATTTTTCTACTTGCATTTTTTTTTACGTGCTTTCGAACTGCTAGGTTGGCAGAAGCTGCTGGGACAAGTAACGGGAGCTCACTCTGTTATGCGGCGCTAGGGATTCGAACCGCCAAACTGCCGACCTTTCTGATTGACAAGCTCAGCATCTTAGCCACTGAGCCACCACATCCCTTCATGAATCTGTAGGTTCTATTAATGCCCTGAACCTCTGCAGACAGCTCAGAATAGCTAGAATTTCACTTCGCTGCCTACCGACTGGCATGCCAATCCCGTAGCCCTTGGTGTCCAGAAGGCCCCCGACCTGGGTGAGGTTGCAATTGCGCTGGCGGTAATACTCGTTCATGGTGGACTCCAGCAGGAAAGCATAGTTGGAGTTGAGCACCCGGGCGATGCCTTCTTCTGTGCTTTTAACAAAGACGCTTGGCTGCTTAGAATACATGTAATTCCACATTCTTTGATACGTCTGGTACCGTGAGTTCTTAACAAAACAAAAGAATAAAGATAAGCCGAACCCGGCCATCGATTGGATAGACCTTTCTACAGATCCAGAGATAGGCTTTATTATTTATTTATCTCAGACCCTTAACATCCTGGACACAAACTGTTTCAACTTCTACCCTCCAAACCACGCTATAGAGCACTGCACACCAGAACAACTGCTAGACACAAGGACAGTTTTTCCCCAAACGCCATCACTCTGCTAAACAAATAATTCTCACAAGACTGTCAAACTATTTACTAAGACTGTATTACTATTCTTCTTCTCATCCTTCCTATTACCTATCTCCTCCAACTTATGACTACAGCCTTGTTGCTTGGATCTTTACTATTATATTGTTTAATTTAGTATCCTATGCTTATTTAGTATCCTTTGACTATCACTAAGTGTTGTATCTTATGATTCTTGATGAATGTATTTTTTAATGTACCCTGAGAACTTATGCACCGAAGACAAATTCCTTGTGTGTCCAATCACACTATCCATTTCTATTCTATTCTATTCTATTCTATTCTATTCTATTCTATTCTATTCTATTCTATTCTATTCTATTCTATTCTATTCTATTCTATTCTATTCTATTC